GGTTTGAAATATGTTGGCGCGTTTCTTCAACTCGCACCTTTTTTTTATTCAAATAGTTATCAGTTTGAAAAATCAAAGTACCAATTCTCTTGTATGAATATCGTTCACAACTTTATCGGACTGGTTTTGGACTGATTTATTTTTTGTTCAGACTGATATTTGACGGTCTTAAATATACCAGTCTTAATAATATGTTTTTCTAGTAGTGCTAATGCAATAACAAAACAGTTAATTTCTAAATGTACTAATGCAAAATTAGAAAATTAGAACTTACTAGTGATGAGATTGAAGTCACAAGGCATAATTACCTCATCTTGTGTAAAGGGATGGCCAAGTTTCATAGAAGGAATCCTGGTTCCATGGCCACAGTAGTGGAAAAAAAAAAGGACAACCTCTGTTTTAGCCTTTATCCACTATCTGGTCAAGTGCCACCTTGATGTTGGCACTAGTAGGCATAACTGGGGACCCTGGTGCATCAATCAGAAGCTTAATATGAGCATCATCAAACCCACACCTTTTCACCAAGACTTCTTTCATAGCCAGCATGTCATTGTTGCATCTCTGCAGCTTTTTCTTGGTGTTGGGGTAATTGCAGCTCACCAGAGCAGCCAATTTCTTCTTAGCCTCTCCATTTCCTCAAAATTGAAACTCAAATTCTGAGATCATACCTTTCAAATCTTCTAGTCTTATCGGTGAGTAAGGAGATGACTCGAGAAATGGTTCAAGCAATCGCCCTATCAAGTTTAGTTTGCCTTTCAAGTATGGGGAAATTGGTTCTCCTTTCTTTAGCACAAGTAGGGATGTCAATGGGGCCCCGCGGGGCCGGGGAGGCCTTCCCCATCCCCATCCCCGCGAATGATGGGGACGGGGATCCCCGCGGGGATTTTTGACGGGGGTAAATTTTGCCCCCCATCCCCATTCCCCGCCAATTAACATCAAAATACATATTTTTTACATAAAAAATAAGTAAAAATTAATGAGGCGTGCATCAAACATATAGTGAGTGAGGATGATGGGATACTGCAGCTTTGACAGCAACTCTAGGCTTCAGCAGCAGATTGACAACAACTCCAGGCTCCAGCAGTAGATCTATAGCAGCAGCAGCAGTAGATATGTAGCAACAGCAGCAGATTTATAGCAGCAGCAGCAGATCTATAGCAACAGCAGCAGCAAATCTGTAGCAGCAGCAGATCTGTAGCAGCAGCAGATCTGTAGCAGCAGCAGCAGCAGCAGATCTGTAGCAGCAACAGATGTGTAGCAGCAGCAGCAGCAGATTTGTAGCAGCAGCAGTAGCAGATTTGTAGCAGCAGCAGCAGATCTGTAGCAGCAGAAGCCAAAAGGGAAGGGGAAAGTCGAAGGTGAGGTTGTGAGAATGAGTGAGGAAGAACTGCAGAAGCAAGAAGGGGAGGGCTATGAGGTGTGCTGCGTGAGTGAGAAAGGGAAATGAATAGGGTTAGGAAATTAGGGTTGGAAGGAGGATGATGGGTTGTGTTGGGATGGGTTGGGTTGGGTAAAGTTTAATTTTTATTGAATTGGGTTTGGGTTTGGGTTTAATTTTAAAAATTAAATTAAATTTAAAATAGAATTAATTTATATACATTTTTTAAATTTTTCGCAGGGATGGGGATCCAGCGGGGCTCCACGGGAGGGGAAAATTCCCGCGAAATTAATGCCTCCCATCCTCACCCCACGGGGAGGAATATTCCTCCCCACCCCGTCCCTATGATGGGGATCCCCGCGGGGCCCCACGGGGATTGGGGCAAATTGCCACCCTTAGTAAGGGGAGAAATTTTGTGGAGGAAGAAGAGAGAGAAGAGAGAGATGAGATCAGCGGAGGAGAGAAAGAAGGCTCGTGTCGAAGAAATTCTCTGTTCGCTCGTGTGTCTTTTTGGATGATGAAATGTTTCTTTTTTTCTTGGTTGAGTTGTGATCAT